ATATATATATATATATATATATATACTTTAACAATGCTTGCGCAATTATGTGCAAGAAAAGAACGAACAATATTTATAACCAATTCAGAAAATTAAAACGTTAAACATTTGTATCTCCAATATTGAATAAATATATCTCATATTATATGTAAATGCCTGAAATAATATTTAACAAAAACACAGTTAGACATTAAACTTACCGAATAGTATTACCGGTTCGCATTCTCACCCATTGGGGAATCGGTCTGTTTTGCTTCAGCTTTTTTGCAAGCTTACGCTTGATAATAAATGTTTTATGCGCCGACTGAAACACATGTGAAACAAGGTCAGGGTCTGTAGATATAATTTCTAAGCATCTTTATACGCTGAAAGACGGGATGGTAAAGAGATAAATGGATATACCAAGAACTCACCATTACGTTTCTCTACGCTTTCTTAGCACAAAATGAAAGATCACGCGCAATGCGGTTAAGGCGTTCGATGCTAACAAAATGCAATGCGTTCTGAAATGAGTTCTCTCCGTGTACTATTTATTAAATTATTTCGTACTATGAGATTGTTAACCAATCACAAAGCTGTGTTTTTCTGCTTTAGGTTACGTTGATTGGTTAGTTCCGATCTACAATAGGTGATTTAAGCCTTAAGTCATAAAAAATGGACGAATCATAGTCGAAGAATAGGAGAATAATCTACTATGATTGGTCAATTTCTTATGGCTTAAGGCTTAAATCACCTATTGTAGATCGAGACTTATAAGATAAGAAATTTTTCGAGATCTAAACACTTCAATAGTAGAGTCAATCAACACGTTTAAAAAATTATCGTGCAACAAAATCGTCTTAAAATCACATTTCAACTAATAAGAAAATTGTAAGCTTATTTAAGATGATCTTAAATATAAAAACTGATTATGAATATTGGCCTAAAGCTTTGTGTCCATGAGGCTAGAAATTGATCCGAGATCTTGGAGGAAAGAAAAATTGGTCAATCGCAATGGCTATTTCGATTAATTGATTAATTTTTTCTTCATCCAAGATCTCAGATCAATTTCTAGACACAAAGATTTATAGGCACCTTTATCGATAAAAGAGAATTCAGGCTATGAGCCAAAAGATCGAGAGTATGATTTATTTCGTGTTTTGAAGATTTTTTGATTGATTAATTCGTAAAATTCTTTGTTCTAATTAGTCAATCAAACGCTTTAAAGCATCAAGTGGACCGTATCCCAAAATACTCAAATACAAAAAAGCGCAAATGAAACGAACAGACTTAAAATTTTGGAAAAGATTTCTCGCTCGGCCAATCCGCGTTCAACAAGTACGACATTCCGATTCAGGTGCATTCAGGTGCACCGTATCTACCCGAAAAACTCGTGAATTTCCCGTATCGATTAGTCCTACAAATCCTCTGTCGAGAGTATTCAGATTCGATTGAAGCTCAAACGTGGAAGATTTACTTGAATGACAGATTAATGACGATCGTTTTCTCGTGCTTGTGTCGCCTGCGTCTGGATGCTCAGATGTCGTGATGATGCTCGTGACGTAATTGAATTAACACCCGCGGTGGAGCATATCAGGCCAGGAGTTCAGGGGCCGTCGATTCGAGCGATTTATTTACCATTTTGCCCCGTCACTGTGATCGCGCGTGTCAGATCCTGGTGAGACTCGTTGAAGCTCACTGCGACAACGGACGCGATGGACAGCAACAAAGATGAGGCGGAGCGATGCATGGAGTTTGCGGAGCGATTTATGCGCGAGAGAAAGTACGAAGAGGCTGAAAAATTCGCGCGCAAAGCTCAGAAGCTTTACCCAACAAAGAAGGCTGAGGGTAAGTAATCCAACTATGTACGACATCTACTCCATTTTCATCAATATAGATTAACTTTGAACTCAATTCAATTTATTCTTTTTATCTTCTAATTCTAGAATTACATAAAAATAGAAAGTGTATTTAAAATCAAAATTAATCTACATTGGAAATGGAATATGCAATTCTTTGCGCAATGTAATCACATGATGTCGACAATCTTTGTATTTTATATACTATTATGTGCATTTTATGTCACATGGCTAAATTATTGTTTTTGTTTTTTTTTTGTTTTTTTTTTTTTTTTTTAGTTGCAGAATAAAGCTTTAATTTTATTTTTGGAAAGCACCTATACATATATTGCACATTCTTCTTTTTGTTAGAGTAATGACATAATGATTACAGGAATCAAATAATTGTATTTATAGAATTGTTAGCGGAAGTGACAATACTTTCCAAGCAGAGCCAGAAACCTGAGCCAACTGAGCCTAACGTCAGAAAGCGGCAAAATATATCCAAAGATGGAATACATTCACAAAGTAGTTCTGAATATACAAAAGAACAATTGGAACATGTGAAGAGGTATATCTAGATTGTTTCGATTAGAGAACAGCAATTGCAATATTTGTGAAATATAATAATATTTATTTAAATATATATAATATTGTTATTATGTTTAATTTAGATTTCTCTTATCAATTATTTTGTATAAATAAGCTTTTTTTCAAAAATATCAATTATTACAGGATAAAAAAATGCAAGGATTATTATGAAATCTTAGGAGTCAGCAAAGATGCTACAGACAGTGATATTAAGAAATCTTATAAAAAATTAGCGCTTCAGTTACATCCTGATAAAAACAAGGCACCTGGCGCTGCTGAAGCTTTTAAAGGTAAGATAAAGTGATAAAAAAAAGCAAACATGAAGTTATAAATGTACTCATAAAAAATCTGATTATTCTTACAGCTATTGGTAATGCAGTTGCTATCCTTACTGATCCAGAAAAACGGAAACAATATGATACATACGGTCCTGAAGAAGAACGTATGCAGAATGCACATGGTCGTCAAGGCCACACACATTACAGCTACACCCGTGGATTCGAAGGTAAGAGATGTGTACCAATTGAATTGAAGATCATTGTGAAGATTATTTACATGCATGCATTTAAAAATAATCTGGAATATCTTTCTTTAGCTGACATCACAGCTGAAGAATTATTTAACATGTTCTTCGGTGTCGGTTTCCCACAACAAGAATTCTATATGCGTCGGCAAGGTGGAAGATGGATGCGACAACAAGATGCACAAGCGCAACATGCTCATTCTCAAGTAAATCAAAATAGCATTTATATTGTCAGCAGAATTTTATAGTGCTTTTATTTATTTTTTTTATCATGACAATGTTTTTTAGCAAGCCAATGGATATACTACATTTCTTCAGATGTTACCAGTTCTATTACTAATATTGTTAACTATGATGAGCAGTTTCTTTATATCTGATCCAGTATATAGCCTACATTCAAATTCGTAAGTATAATTAACAAATAACCAATCAAAATGAATCAGTAGAGATCTTTATGATATATGTAATGAGAGTTTTTTTATTTGTAGGAAATATTCCGTGGCTAGAACAACTCAAGTCTTGAAAGTGCCATATTATGTTAAGGAGAATTTTCATAGCGAATATCAAGGCAGTTTACGTAGGCTAGAAATTTCAATTGAAGAAGAGTACGTGAGTAACTTGCGACAAACTTGTGCCAGAGAAAAGAATTATAGTATGTATTTACTTTTCTTTTTCCAATATATTCAATATATTTTTCAATCAATATGTTACTATAACATATGTACTGTATCTTCTAAACTTTTTAATATTTTCTAACGTATAGGAGAAGGTATAATGTGGAAAGCCCGTAACTTAGGAGATCAAGATCTATTTTTGAAAGCTAAAAATCTCGAAACACCTTCGTGTAGAAGACTGCAAGAGCTGCAAGCTTAACAGAACATGTAAACTAAAAATAGAAGTTTTGTGTGCTATAGATAAATGTATATTTACACATATATAATTATATCTTTGGGTGTATAATGAGAACTTGGCATATAAAGCGCAATTATACATAAAACGTCTTTATACACTCAGACTGAATCAAATTTCAAAATCCACAAGAGAAACACTATGTATTTAAATTAATCTAGCCATTTGTTCCATGCAAATTTTAAATTGCATGATGAATGTTTACTATGCAGAATGAATGAATTTTATTTATTCGACTTGTGTAAGAAAATTTCTTTTTGTTTTTATTTATCATCATATCATATAAATTCCTTAAATTCAAAATATAATAGTTATAAACATGTTTACAAAATTATTAAAAATTCTATCAAAAAAGACTAATATCTCTCTAATATGTTGTACGTGTGATTGCTACTTCAGTTTTCCAAACAAATTAGTATTGTGAAATACCATTAGAACAGTCTATTTATTTCGAATACTCAATTATTTGTTTTTTAACAAGTAAAATGAAAGCCTAGCACTTGTATGTAAGATTACATAGATACCATAGTTGAGATAAAATATCATGCGTATTTATACATAATTTCATAGACGTGCGGGTCCAATTTATTTCGTAATATTGCTTTTTCTAATTGCAATTAAAAAATTGAATCTAGTAATGATGATTGTATTTTCCACTCGGAATGTTATTGCACAGCTGACTGTTAATGTATACGCTTTTTTAGCAACTTTTGAAGATATATACATTTGTAATTATGTGTATAGCTTAGTGAAAAAGAAGAAAATTTGAAGGATATATCTAAATAATTTTAATTTTTAATTATTTAATAATTTCTTCAAAGTTATTTTATTGTTTCAGTATTAAATTTTATCTATTCTTCATTACAAACATATGTGAAATGCAAGTAACATTTGAAAAATGAAAATCAATACAAACATGTATTATGCTGAATCGCTTCTCGTTTAAAAATTATTTATTTTAATATTTCTTTTATCGATCTTATGATTGCAAAAAATTGATATAGAGCATATTGACATAAAGTTGTTGACAATCTATATTGAATTTACTATAATTTTAGTATTCAAAGTAAAAAATTCAGTATTTGTTTTTAGCAGATCATAGATATAACATAGATATATTTCTAGAGTTGTTAAAAGAATTTCTTGATATTTGTGTAAATGTTTATATAATATGTATTTAAATATATATTTTTATTTTAATTTATATCTAATTAAATACATACACAAAAATCTTTGATGTTGGAATATTTAATTGATTTTTGTGAAATTATTGGGAAAGAAATTAAGTCATATAGAGATAAAGTAATATGAGAAATGATTAATATATTTGTTGCACATTATAAAACACAGTTGAAATGTATTGCGAATTGAATTGTAATTAAACTAAAGAATTTTAAATGTATTTATGCTATGTCAAGAATAATTATACACTTCTGTTGTGAGATAACATATAATATATTGTTTGTTTTAAAATATAATTATAAATTGTGCAATTTGTTGTATAAATGTTTACATTTATTATCATATAACATTTTTAGCACAGACATATGTTAAATATAAATTACATTATGTTAAATATAAATTATGTTTAAAAATTTTTTATATATGGATATCCTTTTTTGTCTTGTTTCGTTAATAAGATATTTAATGATCATATTAATTGATATATAATTATTGATATATAGTATTATTGCTTATAATTAAAATATATAAGCAATAATATATTTCATTTATTTCTTACATATATTTTGAACCTGAGTCGGAGA